CTGCTACTGCTACTGCTACTGCTCGTGCTGCTGCTGCTGCTGCTGCTGCTGCTGCTGCTGCTGCTGCTGCTGCTGCTGCTGCTGCTGCTGCTGCTGCTGCTTCTGCTGCTGCTGCTGCTGTTACCTCTATTGCTACTGCTACTGCTACAACTACGTCGACTACTACGACGACGACGTGCTATTGAATATTTACCACGGTGAAAAACAGGTTCCTTCGGCCGGCATGAATGCATCGCCACAATGCTAAACTCAGCGTCGGCGAAAGCTCCTGCTGGTGGACATCTGCAACAAGGGCTCGTGCCTAGGCATGTGGCGCAAAGCCACGGAGGGTTTGGGATCATAGCAATCTACTGCAGCGTGCGGTCTTCGATGATTTTGGCAAGGGGGAGCATAGGTGCAGAGACCATCTGTCGAAAGCAACACGGAGCCTTTGAGACTTTCGAGGCCAGCATGGCGACAGGCAAAGGGAAAACCGAGGCACTGCGGAATTGCATGTTACGTGTTGCGATGCATCACGGAGGCGGCTCAACAGTGAAAGTACCTACGGATGGCTTTCAGCATTCATGAAGCCAAGCCTGTGCAACTCGCCGCATCATGTGGTAGCACATGGATGCAATCGGCTGTGTTAGAAACCTTGAGCTGAGCCCAACATACTGATGATATCGGATGACGAGGCTGTGTTTACGTTCGTGCGATTTGGGTGAAGTGCCGCTTCTTCAGGCTGCCTGGGTATGTAAGTTCTTTGCTCTCTTCCGGGCCCATGATCGAACCGAGGCCACAGCCAAGAAAGCCATTGTTGGAACGGGCGAAACCAACAACTTCATATTTCTCCGTCTCAAGAAGGCTGAGGACCCAGGCCGATGTCTTCTCGTAGCGCTTCTTCCTATCTGGCCCATTGACCTACACAGGCGGGAAGATTCAGAATGCCACGCTGCATGAGCTGCCTAAAGGCTTAGCCTTGTGGGGCGAATGGGCTTCGAAGCAGCAGCAGTTACCTCAAAGCCCTGCGTGGAAGCACAAGGAGTTGATCCGTGTATATCTCCAAGCTGACCCGACCTGGTCACGACTTTAACAAGGCCTTGACCTGTGCACATCCCTTGTGCAGTCAGATGCAAACGTCAGAGATGATCATAGGATTTGGGGAAGTACATTAGACGAGGACTTTTACAATTATATAGCAAGGAGGGTATATTGCTCTATAACTCTATAGCTATAAATAGGGACAGAAAGCACGACTGTGCTGGGGGACTCTGGGTTCATGTCCCCTTGCGTGCAAAAGGCCTCCCACTCTTTGGCCAGGTATCCACCCACGAAGCGCGAGACGTCCTGTCAGAGATTTCCACCGTCCAGACTTCATATTTCAGACTTGCGGCTGGCGTCCATTGTAGCCCTCATGCAACTCAAGCAGAATATATCCAGAGCCTCATCGTGAGACTGGCCGAACCGCAGATGCCCGCTACGCGAATTCAGCGAATTGATTCACTCTACTGTTTCGGGTTCAGGGTTTAGGGCTCAGGGTCCCTAAAGCCTAAACCTTAACTCTCTTCCTCCCGTCCGGCCACCCTCGTCGAAGGCAAGTACGGTGGGTCCCCTAAACCTTAAAGCCAGGAAGCCGTCCTTCTGCAGCTTTGTCAGGGCAAAGGGATCGAACTGGAGAGTGATCGGCGAGTAGCCCGTCTTGCGCGAAGGGGCATTGCCAGCACGGGGAATAGGAAAGGAGTTCAATGAAGAGTCTTGGAGTCTCCCTTCTGCTAGCCTTCATAGCAACCTGTATGGCAGCCTCTAGGAACTGACACCCCTGAGTCGCCTCTGCGCCCAAGCCCCCGGTCCCGACCTCCCCATAGTGGAGCACAAAGGAGGAGGATCGCACCCTGGCATTTCGGATGTACCATGGGCCTCTGCACCTCTCTTTTGCTCTCCGGCCTTCCGTCCAGGGAGAAGCTCAGAGTCCCATCGTACTCTCCAGCCTCAAAAGCACTGAGATCTCGTGACTCTTCCAGCTGTCCTTTGATGCAAGTTAGAGCCGGCATGGAAAACGAGAGCCCCGCAACGCCATCGCCGCCGGCCATGTTGATTCGAAGAGCTGGCGTTCAAGAGCATCAAGAAGAGCAGCAGGAAAGTGGCATGGCAAGGTGATGATACCCAGATCCCTAACCCGCAAGTCCCTAAGCCCGAAACCGGCCACCTAGCTGCGGATTCTTGCACTCCACGCCGTCAGCAACGAGGCGGGACCTGGGCTCTGGCGTGAAGAACTAGGCATCGTAGCCCTTCCGGGCTCGGGTTTAGGGTTTAGCGGCTTGGAGTACCTAGAACTACAGCATAATATACCCCTGTTAAAGGTAGAAGCATCCAGGGACTATCATATACCATCGTCCCTATATAACTATCCCAAAGCCCCAAAACGCACCATTTCTAGTTATCACGCTGTGCACAGCCCAGCTGCTCTTCAACCAAACATACCCAAATAATGTAGGGGGCCTTAATAATTAGAATAGGGTTTTGGGGTATATTGTACTATAGTCATAATAATAATAACAATAACAATAATAATAAGGAACCCCCGAAATAATACAGGTAATCATTCAGGCCCCTATAGTACCCATCTGCACCCTTTACGTTGCTGCTGGAGCAGCAACAGCGATAAGTAGCTACTAAGTACTGTAGTTGTCAAAGTTTAGTTTCACAAAGCCACTAGGAGACGTGTCCAAGACAGGCCCGGGCTTCGGGCGCACCAGGTTTCTGCAGTGGGCCCAGTGTTCCGTCGCCAACGGCCCTAAAGCTCACGATGACCTGGGTGGAAAAATCATCATCGGGGCTGGCAACTGGACAAATGCCACGCAGCCGAACATCGTGGTCGTGAAACGATTCTCTAGGTCATGGTCTCGTTTTCACCATCTTGTAAGCAAGCTGCACCCCATCCCCCTACCCGCCAAAAGCTGCTGAGCAGCTGCTTTGCTCAGGCCCGGACTAGGTATCCGGCTTGCTCCACCCTGATGAAATCGAAGATGTCTATGAGCCCGTACTGCTTGTGGGCGAACAATTTGCAGAAGGCACAGAAGGCAGCGCTTAGCTGTGGCTCATGGACCCCAAACTCAAGTGAGACCACTGAAAGCCGGAAACCTTCGTTGGAAGCTCGGGCCCTAAGCCGAGATGCTTCTTCACCGTGACGGTGTACCGGTTGATGCTGCTCTTCAGGCCTGTGATAGCTCATGCCCATCCACGCCCATGCAAGGAAGACTGCAAGCTTAGGAGTCCAAGTTCTGACTGGGCAAATTATATGCATCGTTGACACGGTCGCACTGGGTGTACTCGGCTGCTGCTGCTACTCCTACTCCTAGCCCTAGCCCTCGTCCTAGTCCTAGTACTACCCTTACTCCTACCACTCCCACTAGTACTAGCAAGTACTCGCACTAGCACGAGGACCAGTACCACCACCAGTAGTAGTAGTAGTAGTAG